CTAGGTTGGGGGTCTACAACCTCTTAAGCCTCTTTGGAATGGCTCCCTTAAATTCTGCGTGACAGCGAAACAACATAACAGCACTGTCTTCTTAACCTCATGTCAGAGGTGCAGTTGTTCTTAGATAGAAGAAGAATACGCTGGAAACCTTATGATACTATTAAAGATGTCATTCTGTGTAGTTCAAAGCAGAATGAGTGTATTTTTATACTCATGAATCACTCTCATCTAAGTGACTTCAGTGTGTTGTAAAGAGCCTTACCCCATCGTGGACCAGGGCCTTCCAGGAGTGTTCCAACTTCTTGATAAACCTAAAATAAAACACATATGAACCCTTATTGGAATGGCAAGAATGAGAAGAAGAACAACAACATTTGAAATATCTGACAACACTGACCTATAAGACTGCAGAATGTCAATGATGCCAATGTAAATCAGCAGCCGCTCTCCTTTATTATTACAGCAGGCATGCCACCCATGCTGGAAACACAAGAAAAAAAGTGTCATTCAGACGTCGTGGCTTAAAAAACACTACAATATATAAAGTAGAAAAACACAAACGGTCTCATGACTCACTGGTTTTCTGAATCTAAAGCACCCTTCCCCCGGGCCTCCCCCTGGATGGACTCCATGGCCGTACAGTACAAACTTTTCTGGGCCTGCGGTCTGCGTTGATCAGGTGTCACAGCGCCCTCTAGTGCACTGCTGTCCCCAAAGTTACCCAGGCCGCGCTCTCGCTCTCGACTGGCCTGGTCCATGTTGTGGATGCCCATCAGCAGACTGTAATCCATGATTTTAAAACTCTGTAGAAGCTGAAAAAAAACAAACAAACACATTCACAGACAAAATAGTCAGAAGCTGCAGGATCCAGAATAATTCTGGAATAAAACACACTTACCAAGCAGTCCCTCTGTATGGTTTTGCACAGAGCATTGTAGTTGTCCATCTCCAGCAGCAGACCGTCTGGTAAGTCCTGGATGAAGTCCAGGTCTTTGTGGATGGGTACCGCCTTCTCCCTCTCCTTGGGTGAGGCTCGCCTCTTGTAGGTGGAGCCCTTCAGGTCGTATTTGAGGTGCATGGGGATGATTCGAGGAAGAAGATTGTTCATCACCACGATACGGATGTTCTTGCCTCCTGCTTGAACGCAGTAGAGTCCGTAGAACTTGGGCAGCAGAGTGCGCTTGTTTTGGTTTATGTTCTACGGACGAGAGTGAGAAAATGACATTTGCTGTTTTGTCTGAGATGGAAACTCAATTAGAAATGATTCGTTTTACAGCAGCACATTTCAGACTCACCATAAAATAACCCGGCAGGAGTTTCTGAAGGAACTCTGCCTCCTTGTGCTGAACAGTCTTAATGATGAACTCGTCGTCACTGGACACGTAGAACAGCGACCCACTGGCTCCGGGATTGGACAGCTCAATCAGTGGCTCGTTACATAAAGAATACTTCAACGACAAACAAGGACCTGGAGTCAGTCACTGACGATAGTACTGCCAAGTACTTGTTAACCTTAGTGAGAAGTATTTTTAGTACTCCATGTGGTCTGGACAGTTTCAGGGAATGGTGACTGAACGACTATTATGATTAAAAGGGTGAGGAAAACATGTGATACGATGTGTGGACGTGGAAGCTTGATGATGAACCACTAGACAGACCCCAACTACAAAACAACCTGACATCACTTAGAGAGAGAGAGGGAGGGAGAGAGAGAGAGAATAAGTCAAGAAGCGACTGACTGACAGCAGCCACAGCTCAGAGCACTGGTGTCTGTGCTGCCCCCGTCTGTGTCAGATTTTAGCTGGAAGTGTTTGGTAAATAAATAAGACAAGTGTTGGCAACAGGGAAACACCAATGAGGGCCTTCACATGGGTGTTGTTTACCCTGCTGGATATAAGTATCTCACACAGACACACACACACACCGTATACACACACACACACAGGGATGACAGCTGATGGTCACACAACTGTTCCTTCAAAGGTTTCTCAAACTGATGTCACTTTTTATGCCTGGATAAAATGAACAGCAACAAAAGGCAAAACATATGGAGTTCTAAAGCCCATGCTGTACATTTAGAGGTAGAACTGACCAGATAGTCGTCTGGTCGGATGCCAAACAGTTCTCTGAAGTACCGGAAGGCGATTGGAGCGTACGTCTTGAAGCGAAAGTCGCTGTAGTGATGGGCAGGAGTCAAATTACTGCCTTCACTGAAAAAGAGAAAAGAAATAATGAGACATTGCAAAAAAAGAAACTTTATACAAAATGATTTTTTATTTATTTTAAAAATGTATATTGTTTTAATTCAAGTGAGATTTCTTTTTTTTTTTTGCGACCAACCTGGGGAAGAAAATGCTTTCAACAACTACGAAGTCCTGCATCAGAACATCCCTCTCCGCCTTTTGACTTAAACTACCAACTGTGTGAGTGATGCCCAGCTGGATTGCTCCTTTTAGGGCGGACGACGTGGTCTAGAGGCGACGGACAGGAACAGAGAGAATTAAGGTGCGAAACACACACCATTTCACCCTGTGATTACCCACTATTTTAGGATGTCCAGTGAGAGGAACTTCCCAAACTAATTTTACACTACATACAACAAACATGAGCGCCTGCACACTTTTGACCTCTGCTGCGAGTGTCAACAACCCCCCCCCCCCTGCCACCCTAGCCCTGGTCTAACCTTTTTATAGGTGGTCTCTCCGGTGGTGGTCTCAACACCCCGGTGTCCAATGGTTTTCTTCATACTCTGAGTTGTGCTTGAGCCAGGCATCTGTACACGGAGGAGACAGGGATCGGCTCAACGTTTGAATGTTAATGGTGGAGGTTAGCATCTCTGTGAGTCAGGAACACTGATGACTGATGACTGGTACAGGAACTAAGCTGAAGCACCAGACAATAACTAGGCCTTACAGTATGTAGAGGTTTATATTTTAAGAATATTAAACAGATTGGAGCCTCATTTATTTTGTTCCAGTTGCGCATTCCTTAGATAATATAGAGTCCAAAAGTCATAGAAAAACCAAAGTTTCACTTGTAAGTAACTGCTTACAGTATTTTCCAAATGAACATTGCAGTGTACAATGGAGAAACTACAAAAAAAACAAAAACATTCTTTGTCTGTTTGTGTGAATATGTCATCCCTGCATGGTGAATGGTGCCATGAGTATTTGCATGTCAAATGTTTAATTAAAAAACAATTCATAACAAGTGATTATGTCTTCATTTAAAGAATGAAACAGATTGATTATTGTGCACACACACTATGACGGTGCTGCCACCACAGATAAAAAGCAAAACATAATCCAATATGGTTTTTACCTGTGAATGAAGTTAATGTTAACCAAAGGGGAGCTGTATGTAGAGAAACACATTGACTTCATACGGAAAGTTGTTCATAAATTCAGATTCTGTGGTCCTTACCTCTGATGGAGCCATTTTTCTGATGCTGCTGGTCCCTGCAAATACAAAGGCAAGTGTGATTTTTCCATATTGAACACTGACTTAACAGACCACAGAAACGAAACTCTTTGTTCCATAATTTCAAACCTGTGTCTACTTTATCCCATGCTGTCTGAAGTTTCAGATAATTTCCGGGACCTTTTTAAATTTTTAATGACTGCTTTAGAAATGATCAACCTGTTAATTAGCCGAGTTATTTGCAGCTCTGTCTGATGACGATAAAGCCTACGATGAAGCCTGGTCTAAATGTAGATGCAGTTACCAAGTGCTGGCCCCAAAACTTCCAGCTCTTAGTAATCTGGAACTACGTGTCCCCTGGGTCAGCTGCTCCAGATTCATCTGTTCCCTGACGAACCGTGTCTCATATCAACAGAGTACGACGTACATTTTCTAACACTATTTTTTGTCTCCTTTGCAGCTCAAGTGACTGTAATGCCTTATCACAGTGGAATGGTTTTAAATCTGGTTATTTATAGTTAGTGAAACAAGCATAGAATATGCAGGAAATTACAATAGAAGTAAGTCTTTACGTGATGTCCTTATATAAACTTACTGTTTCAACCTACTATCTCACCCACTCAGCCAGCATTTCCCCTCAGTAACCAATGGCAACATCTACTTTAGTGATTCAGTGGCACACAGGTATATGTGTGCATATATATATTTATATATATATATAAAATATAAAATAAGGGGATTTTCAGGCTGAAGTCTAAAGTTAATAATAACCATAACAACAATAACCCAAGAACACAAAGAAACACTTCAATCCTCTCTTAGGGACACACTGCAAACAACAGGAAAACCATGAGCATCATTCTGCTCTCATTCCCTTTCATGATATAAAAACAGCACACGATATCGTCGCAGATCATGCGGTTTCTCACACACAGAAACACACCCATGCCAATACCTCTCTGCAGCGCTCTCCTCCAGAACTGAGTCCTAATATCTGTGAAGTAGGACACTGTCAGCCCGTGTAATACCTCAACCCGGCCCTGGCGTGACGATGTCAATGTGGCAAAATAGGCTTAATGCAGAGCAAAAAGGTTGCCAGGGTAACTCAAAATCCATGTAGTGGCACACACATATGTTGAAGACTAGTACGTTTTAGATGATATGTGGTCTCTTTGAGGACGCTGTGTGCTGGGGAAGAACAACACCCTCCATTGTTTTGTTTCTAATTTGCTTCCTTTCACAAGCTCTCAGAATTCTTCTGGTCAGAAACATGTACTGCTCGAAAACAGAGCCTTTGTTGTTACTGCTGTTATTCAAAACAGGTGGCTGTTGTGCATTAGACACCAAGACACATGGGATGGAGTTAGTAGGATTAGTTCAAGTTACCAAAGGGCTCTGGAATGACTTAGTAAAATATCTGAGTAATTGTCTTTATTGCTGTTGGTCACACTTCTGTCAGAGGTGTACAGCTCCATATCATATATACAGCATGTGCTATAGTCTCTACTAAGCGTGAATCGTAAAAATTAAATAAATTAATTTTATTGTTGTTTTTGTCACATGACTCATCGGCAGTTAAAATAGGCAACGACCTGAATTGTCGTTATTGACGTCTTGATAGTGGGTTATTCTTTCTTGCCTTGTTAGATTTAAAAGCTGATAGCCTAATATGCCATAAGAGTCATATATATTATATTCATGCAATTAACCCTGTTTTTTTGAAAAGGATTTGTCAATTAATTATTACAATAATCGACTAATCGACAATCAAAATAGTCGTTAGTTGCAGCCCTAGTCTCTACACCAAATGTTTGACTTGTTCTTTTGGAAAACAGCTAGAATATGTAAGAGCACAGTCTAAAACTCCTGGCCCATCTGGTCCACAAATCTTGCATATCTGGCCTGCCCTGATAATGTAGTTGAACTGCTGAGTTTTTTTTTTTTATTATTACTCCTAATACATTTACGATAACTCTTTTTACTATTCACCACTTCTATTAAGAGTAACTTTTTTTTAAACTAAATATCAATATCTATGTTTGCATTTTCAAGAATAGTACGGTGGAATAACTTTGGCTGGTGACCAGTATTTTGATCTATAAAAAAAGAATTTCATTTGCTGTTTTGGTCAAAGGTCAACCCATAAACAGACACTGCAGCAGATTCAAGGAAGCGACTTTAACCTGATTGCTTGAAGAGTAAAATGTCTTGTCAGTGACAGGCCTAAGGACAACAGACAAACCATCTGTTCATCCCTGTTTAGCAAACAACTCCTGGCCCAGCCTTGTATACATGTTCCCTGCAGCCTGCACTGGGACATTTAAGAGATTTAAGAGTGTTTTTTTCACAATCTCCTCCTGCTAATAAGGCATTCTGAAATATTCTGGAAGCAAGGCCAATAAAAGCTAACGAGGGAAACGACATCATATTACAGTCACCGGAGAGGAAGTGTTTATATGTTTTGACAGATTTGAACCAACTCTTGTTTTCACAGCCTCAGGCCCGCAGCCATGTGGAAGCTATGAGAGTGCTTTGAAGCCACTATTTTTATTCACTGATTCAGACTGGGCGGCTACTGAGGGCGGGGAGGAAGACGAGGAAAATATGTCTGTACAAGTAAGTTAATTATGATTCACACCTTAATGAATTACCAAGAAAAAAAAAACTGTCTTCTGCCATGCACATAAACAAAACAGAAAGCAGACTGAGAGCAGTAACACTAAATATTCAAAATACTGAATGTTTTGTTTTAAATAAGATTAATTATCACGTGGCTGTCCTTCTTCCCCTGCAGACTGCAGTAACAATCAAAGGATTTGTTTTTCACAATAACAAGAGGAATTAAGATTAGGAGATGAACGACTTGTCAGCTGGATAAAACAAGATGCATCATGGGACACAAATGAGCCATCAGTCAATCAGTGACGGTGGGCTGTGATGATGACAGGGCTGGCTAGTTAAAAATAGTGCCTGCTTTGTTGTTCTGTAGAGGTCTTCATCTAAAACAAAAGTATGACAAACATCCCATTTGGAATTGTTACCAATTTGACATTCACATTAGAGGCAGGAATTTCTGACACACAGAAAGACTTAATTTTGTGATATGTATGCAGTAATCAGTGTCCGCTATGGCTTGCCGCTGCTAATATCACCCCAGACCTCCGAATATATATTTTTTGAGCTTGGTTAGCAGCACTGTAACATCAGATTTCAAATTGTTGACAACTTCTGCTTCTAATTTCCTCTGTGATAAACATCTCTACCCACAAACAACACAATCACAGGCAAAGTACATACTTTTGGTACAAGAAAATAGGTAGTCCGCACTATTGAAGATGGCAACATGAACTTCCTATGAGATGTTTCATGTGTGTGTTAAGGTTCTAAAGTTTTCATTAAGATTTTTGTTTCTATGAAGGTACAATAAATATTATCATGTTACCGCACCGTCAACATTTTTTAACAGTCTACACCTAATTGTACACCCATTCTTACATAATAATTTCAGGTTCGATATTAAATTAAACATTTGTGTACTGACATTTAAAGTCAAAATGTCAAACGGAACTTTAATGAGAATTTACAACAAGCTCGAAGAGACAGAAAGATAGACGGAAGGGAGGAAAAGCAGGGATATAACGGGTGAGGAAGACGAGCGGCTAACGGAATAGTTAGTTATCTGTAATTGTCCAGTGTATAGAAAAGAGTGCAATAACATATCGAATTCATTTGAAAAGATATCCACCTTATTTTATTTTAAGGGATGGTTTCTATTTGGGCACCACGCTCGATTGCTATCACAGTAAAACAAAGTAATCGAAATAACCGGCTTAACAACACTACACAGTCAGCACGGGTGCTGTAAATATTATTTTTACGCAATGTGTGTTCAGGAAGATACCACGGCTGTAAGACTACGATCTGAAGGCTTAACTGAAAATTTTATTCAAATACATTTTCAAATAACCGAGAAAGCAGCTAACGTGTTAGCCACAGTTTGGGATCATTTGTTGAGCAGAATCTCTCCATGCTAGCTGGCTAATGGGCTAACGGGGCCATCGTACGTCACCATTCGGCTCCGTATACAAGTTATATCGCTACAGAATTTTATACGTGTCTGTTTTCCATTACATGTTTCAACGACTAAGGCAGAATATTTAGTCAGTAAATACCTGTAGGGGCTGATGATCCCGGGTCTGCTGTTCCAGCAGTCGCCATTATGGTTTGACTGTTCACATCACAGTCAGCGCGGACAGTTAATTTCTGATGTTCGTGACGCAGCAGCGACACAGCGCCCCCCTGTGGATAGTTTACAATAGTTCCAGCATCTTCCTTGATACACAGCCTATTCTATTAATATGTAAGGTCAGTGATGACTACAAGTTGCATGTTTTGAAGGAATATTAGCCTAGCCTCTCCGCCCAGTCTACAGCTGAGAATAAATCATTTACTAGTTGTATTTTACTTTAAATAAAGAAACGTAATTACTTTACAAGACTACACCCCTAAAAGACTTTTACAACAGTGTTAAAAAATTACTCAATTTAACATGAAAATATGTGCTAGTGATTATTCATGTTTTTTGTTTGCTTTTTTTGCAATTGCCTACAATGCCTTAATGACAAAGTACAAATTTGGTTGGCTGCCATTGTGGCTTATTTATATAACCTTTTAATTAACGTAAGGAGAATAATGAGGAGTTCACCCTAAATGCCTCTGGTATTTGGAATCTGAGGTCAAAGTGAACTGTAAAAAAAAAAAAAAATTTTT